TTTGAATCTCTCTTTCCATGACTAGACTGTCTGGTGAGTTTCAGGTAGTTTTAATTACCTCGGGCACAATAACTGCACTGAATCCCTCTTGAGACATTTCCATTTTCAGAGAGACTCCACCGGTTTGAGATCCTGTAAAAATATAAAATATAAAAAGGTTTATTGATAGACACAACACAGCGCATTACACTAGTAATTTAGTGTAATGATATCTGTTTATTATAAAGGTGCCTCAATAGTTATTTTTCATTTCACTAATGCTTCGACCTTTAGCCTCAAGCAATGATACAATAATGCAATGTAACATTTACAGAAATTTTATCAAAGCTTGCTAAATGTTAAATATATAATTTACCTTCAATGGAAAAAATTTTGTCCTGCAAACTCTGCCGGATTATTTCAAGTGCGTTGAAGTTCTGCACTTGAAACACGTGATTGTCTGAGGGAGACGATGCAATGGTGCGTAGTTCTTTTTTTGCTTCAGTCTGAATAAATGCATTCCCCACCTAGGGTTGTTTAAAACATGTGTTTACATTTAATGCAAAATTATTTATCTGATTTTATTAAAACTTTAATGCAGTTTAATACAAAGATTAATACAGTCTATGTTTCCATTATTAATTTAGCTTTTTTTATTTATTGAAATTTGAGCATGGTACTTTAATTAGATACCACTCCTGCATATTCAATGATCAGCTGTAAATGCTGGGAGTGTAAATGCAGCTCCTCGTCCAGTTCAATTCAGTTTAATTTTATTTATGCAGCGCCAAATTATAACAGCCATCGCCTCAAGGCGCTTTATATTGTAAGGAAGACCCTACAATAATACATACAGAGAAAAAACCAACACACATATGGCCCCCGATGAGCAAGCACTTTGGAAAGGAAAAACTCCCTTTTAACAGGAAGAAACCTCCAGCAGAGCCAGGTTCAAAGAGGGATGGCTATCTGCCATGCAGATGCAGAGAGGTCTATTAACACATAGTGAGTGAGAAAGGTGACTGAAAAAGAAATAATCA